AAAACTTGTGTATAAGTAACTTGTCCTGGTTTTACTTAGTTCTCATGTATTACATGAGCAAGTATGTCGCGGTCTTTGATATACTGAATTCAAGAACTCGTCTGGGAGTGCATTGGCACACATCCTCTGTGTACACAAGTATAGCGGCGGACTCGTCTCGGAACGTTACATTCAAATTTATCCTCTGCGCAGATTGCACATTACAGAGCTCATCTGGGAATACATTGACACAGTCGCTGTACACACTTACAGTTGTTGTACCTACTCAGACTCCCTTCACACTGCCTCTGTGCACACACAACGAACAAAAAACTTTATTCAATTCATTCGCACATCTGTACTGAGCGCACACTTAAAATCAGTCAGCAAGTACATTCACACACATACCCTGCACACGCGTGTATGAGTTATCCGGGAATACATTCACACACATCCTCTGTATACACAACTGCAGCCAGGCGCTCGTCGGGTCAGTTTGCGACCCCTTCGTCGAGGGGTACTACACCGAGCTCACAGGGCAAAGGCGGTGAAGGCAGCGCCAAGAATGCACAGAGATACGGCTTTCTCATTGATCAGCGGGACGGGAACAAACGAAGGTACTTGCATACAAGAGAGTGTTGTTCTGTGTGCTTGTGTATTTGGAAGGTTAAAAAATAGTATGTGTACTTGCATACAAGAGAGTGTTGTTCTGTGTGCTTGTGTATTTGGAAGGTTAAAGGTTAGTATGTGTACTTGCATACAAGAGAGTGTTGTTCTGTGTGCTTGTGTATTTGGAAGGTTAGTATGTGTACTTGCATACATGAGAAGTTTTGTGTGCAGATTTGTCATATATAAGCGGGTTGCATGTGTAGTTGCATATATGAGAATTCCATTCGTTTGAAGCGTGCATGTCAGACGTGTGAAGGTCTTATCTGATTGGATAGAGCTACGGCATTCTCATTGATCAGCGGGGCGGAACAGACGAAGGGCGTTTCATGTCCAATCCACATGTCCTGTCAAATACAGACTTGTTTGTATGCAGTGTTTGAGGTTTCGTCCCCGTTCTTCATAGTGTCTGTATTGTAGTGCTGCATGTATCAGTTTTTGGGCCATCACGACAGTAGCAAACACATCTCAAACAAACTGAACCGCACGCGAACGACATGCGCAAGCGAATTTGAATGCACGGACAAGGATACGTTTCCATCGAACCCTCGCGAGTTGTACTGCTTCGCGCACGTCTACACGGGGATAAAAAAAATGATAAACTGTGGTTTAAGTATAAGTGTTTGTAGGATTCACGTGCGTTGATATATATATATTTGTATATTTTGTACTAAGTAACACAATGTGGCAAACGGGGTTATCTGGTAGGCCTGTCTCAGTCGACGGGGACCAGTATCGTGTGGCGTGTGCTCTTCCGGGGGCATCGCGTATTTGTTAAGAACTTCCGAACTGCCATATTCATCGTGTATATTCTAAAGAATTGGGTTTATACAACCCTAGAACTGGTGTGTTCATGCGTGGGACGCGACTTCAAGACGCTCACGGCACAGCTGTGTGGGATTTATACCCTCCCCTCAATCGACATCGATTCTATTCATACATGCCCGTTTAGGCTCCTCATTCTTGCTGTTCTATTACATGCATGGTTTGTGCATCAGTTTTCAGGCTGTTTTTTACAATGATTGCTTTCATACTTTGTCCATCACTCACCAAATACAAGCCGTACTACTTAACTACTGGTGCTTTGTGGGCTCGGTTGTTCGCACTAGAATCCGGAACTGGTTGTATGTAGGCACTTTTAAATCTTGTTGGTTAACTTTGTTTAGCATAACAGATCACAACAGATTGGATACAACCGTTACCATATAGGAATGCTAGTCACTCACCCTCCTCTTGATTTGTCCACACTGTATCACAGAGCCGGGGATGTGGGTTTCGACAAGAACACGCTCTATGTGCCCGAGAAGTTCATGAGAGAGTTCTCCAACTTTGAGCGCCAATACTGGGAGATCAAAAAGAACAATTGGGACACAATTGTATTCTTCAAGAAAGGTAGTCAATGTCTATAGATTCGTTCCGTTTTAGGGGTTTCAGGGGTATAGGGGGTCTAGAGATTTTTCATAAGTTGTACATAAGAAACACAATCTCGAACGTAGTTCACCATTATTGGGTGATTGCTAGCAACAATTGGTGGGGTATAATTAAATTTTCTCTAGCTACCTTGTTTGTATAGAAGTCATGAAAGGGAATTATCGGCTGTAGCGTCAATATAATATTGCTGATACACTAACTTTGTGAACAGTGCGTGTTCCTCAATATATACATATTAATATATATATATATATATATATATAGTTATATATATATATATATATATATAATATAATATAATATATAACACACACACACACACACACACACACACACACACACACACACACACATATATATATATATATATATATATATATATATATATGTATATATACAAATGGCATTTATTGGCTGTTGTTTAGTCCAGCAAGCAAGTATTGCCTGTGTAATATGGGTTCTATTGTTTTGCTCGTGGCGGCCGTTTTTAGTGCGCTGCAGTATCGAATGTTCAATACCTCTGATTTGCATATCTGTAGTGCGCCTTAAGAAAGCTCTGTGATTAATGGCATCCGATATCTGCGCGTTTATTGAATCACACACTCTTTGACGATGTTGTCGTCAGTAGACAACAAGTCCATACACACATGTGGCAGAGCTACGTCTGAACCGTTTGCAAATGCATAATTATTCGGATTGAAAGTTTTTCCAGCAGACTTAACACACACCCGTATACAAGTAGGTATACAAGTAGTATACTGACTATTCTCTGTGGTCGCGTACACCTTTGCAGGGAAGTTCTACGAGCTCTACGAAAAAGATGCCGATATTGGCGCGGCCGAGTTTGACCTGAAAATGACTGACCGAGTCAATATGAAGATGGTCGGTGTACCGGAGAAGACCTTTGTTACCTGGGCTGCCAAGTTCATCGGGCTCGGGTGTGTAAGCGTGCTCTATAGATGTGTACGAAGACATGATATTGCACAGCGTACTGGTGAGGGGTATGGGCAGTACAGTGTATAGGAGAGTTGGGGCCAGTCATATACGCGTTCTTTTGTATCTTGCGTCTATTGCGATCTGTGTATAGCGGAGATGGTGCGAGGGCTATTGGTGTAAACGTGCGATATACTGGATATCTGGAGAATTTATATAACTGTTATATACTCGTACCTTTGGAAGTCTATATAAGTGGGAGCGCATTGGGAATTATTTGTCATAGGGGCCTGTAGTGTTCACGAGATTCATGGAAAACTCATGCATGCTTTATTTTAAGACCATATCATAATATGTGCAAAGCGAAGATGGGCCGATAGATGTATACCAATATCACAAACGTTTGCTGGCGACGTTTGCCACACGCGTTTCAAACTTTGATACTGTTCTCGAAAGCGTATGTTTCGCGTAAACGTGTGTATATATATACATGTGGGACGCATTGTTTGGTGTGTACAATATCGCATGTATCCGTATGCGTACGTCTAGTTTGCGGTCTGTCGCATCAATGCCCTGCTACGAGTTGCATTCATCACAACTACATTCGGTTCCTTCACCCAGCTACCAGTTTCAGTCATTAGAGCGTGCTGCCGCCGCTAGACAAACCTGTGCCGGACTGTACGTTTACCTCGGGCCAGCTACAATGCTCACACCAAACGGGGATTGCACATCTGCATACATCCACACCTGTTAACTCACCGTACTTTACTGTTCTCACACCCCATAGCTACAAAGTGGCGCGCGTAGACGAACGCGAGTCCAATCTGGAGAAGAATATGCGCGAAAAGAAGGAGAAGGGCAAGAAGAAGGGCTCCATCATCCAGCGCACACTCTCGTTTATCCTCACAGCCGGCACCCTGACCGGGGATATGGTGGTTGGTGACGAGGCTACGTACATCATGGCGGTCAAGGAGGAGTTTTCGCTGGAGGGTGCGCACTATGGAATAGTGTTTTGTGATGCGGCGACTGGACAGTTTAGCCTGGTAAGAGGGTGTCCCGGTGTGTGGATTGTACTGGTGTGTGGATGTGTAGTAATATGTGTACATAAGAATGTATGGTTGTGAAGCATTGCGTATATACTAGTAAGTATGAACATATCGTAATGCGTATACACACAGGTGTCGATAGATGTGCAGTAATGCGTATATACAAATATCGATGGATGTATCATATTGCGTATACAAGCAAGTATGGATGTGTAGTACTTCGTATATACAAGTAGGTATGGGTGTGCAGTGATGTGTATATGGGTGTGTAGCACTGTGAATTCATAGGTATACATTGATGGGTAGTAGTGTATATATATGTAAGTATGAATGAATGTGTGGTAATGCGTATATATACCTGTATGGTAATGTGTATACACACGTATGTATGCGTATTGGGAAGTGTACACCCGCTACTGTATGTATTCATGGCTCTGACGTTCATGCTCGCCGCCAGTACACTGACTGGGGATATGTGGCTGGTGATCAGGCTGCGATCGCGTTTTGCGCCACCACACTGGCAATAACTGTTCCCCTTCTTGTGCACACATTCACAGGTCGAGTTTGCAGACGATCCCGGACGCACTCTGTTCGAAACACTCATGGTACAAATCAAGCCGAAGGAAATCATCTTGGAACGGGGCTGCTATTCAGACAGCACCAAGCAAATTATTAGAAATTGCCTGAACACACCCATACTGTAGGTGCAATTTACAATGCGGGCAGGCGCGTGTACGCACACACGAATCCTTAGCACTTATCTGAACACTACAATATCGTAGATGCAAGTAGTATTGTGTATATAAGTGCGTCGGACGAATCAGCGGTAATGGTCTCCTCACTCCCATACTGTAGGTGAAGGCTACTTTTAGTAGTAGAAGTGTGTGTGTACGAATCATTAGCAATGGTCTGAACACCCCCATACGATAGATGCTAGCAGCATTGTGTATAGGTGCGTTTTTCTGTACAGTACGTGCAAAGCTGGATTGTGCCCGTTTGCGTGCGCACACACACACACACACACACACACACACACATATATATATATATATACTGCGCACACACACACACACACACACACACACACACAATATATATATATACTGCGCNCACACACACACACACACGCACACACACACACATATATATATATACATATATACATATACATATATACATAGATACATACATATATATATATATATATAATTGTATGTATGTATGTATGTATGTATGT